AATATAAAAGGAAATTAATAATAAAAACTCTCCTTTATGAGGAAATTGGTTTCTTTAAAAAAAAAAAAGATGAGCAAGATTGAGTCTCAGTGCAACAAAAATTATTTTATAAAGGCAACTTCCACTCTGTTGTTCACTGTTGGGTTCTTCCCTACTTGCTCATCTCTCCGGGTTAACTCCCACTTATAAGACCACTCCGTCTCACTTTCTCTACTTCCGCTACCCTCCTTCTACCTGCTGCTTCTGCCTGCTTAGCATCCATGTCCTTTCTTCTGATAGATGCATGTTGATTTCCGTCTTGGGTTCTCTCATCTCCAGTTTGAGTTCAAGTGGTTTCAGTGGGGATGATGAAGGTGGGTATGCTACTAGACTCGATCAAACCTGAACTATTAGAGAAGTGGTTGGCCTATTGGGGTTCCTAAACTGATAGAATGTGAGCCTGCAGTTGCTGCTGGCCATCTTTGGCATCCTTTGGAAACAGCTAGCTCTCCAACCTAGTGGAGAGCACGAGAGACTGCAGAGAGAGAGACCTGTTGATATCATTTGAGCCTAACCTGAAGCTGGCTTCACCCCTCAGAAGAAACCATAACTTCCTTTTTCTGCCCCGTTAGAGTTGGGTTTCTGACACTTGCAACTGAGAAGTTCTGATGGATTCAGCATCTTTCCCATTAGTTTCAGAAGATGCTCCTAATTCCATTCCTCATCTCCCCTAGGACCTTGCTGTTTGCTTTTGTATTTTCTCTTGCTTCCTCTTTCTTAATTCCTTCTTTTCACTATGAAGCATACTGAAATCTCTTCCCATCATAAAAAAAAGAAAGGGCAAAAAACAAAATTAAAAAAAAAACCCTCTCTTGATCCTTTGCAACCATCTAGTTATTTGCCCCCTCTCTCCTTGAGTTCTTATTTCAAGTATTTTTTTTTTTTTTTTGGTGTGTGAAAGAGCCCACTACACTAACCAACTACTTCCTCACTTCTCATTCTCTTCACAATCATTATAATTTGTCTTCCAATATTATCCCCTCTTGAAACTGTTTTCCGTAAGGTCAACAATGACTTGCTATGGGCCAATATACAGGACAACTGTTAGTCCCAATCTGCCCTGACCGCCCTTCTTCCCTAGAGAGCCCAGTGGTGCTCACATATCTGGATTCACAAGGCAATACATGCCATTGTAGCAGCCTTGCCAATGCACCACCATGTTTTAGTTTTGTTGTTTATAGGTAGGACCCAGATTTCTTTGTCTTACTACCAAGAAAATTAAGGAGCATGAAGACTAGGTGAAGATGAAGCAAAAGTTTAGTAAGTGAAAGGAGAAAGTTCTCCACAAGAGAAGCAGGGGCCTGAAAAAGAATTGCCATTCTACCGTCGAATACAAGGGCTTTTATAAACAGGCTAGCAAGGCAAGACGTTTCATTTACATAAGGTGTGAAAAATGGTTAGACCAGGCGTTTCATTTGCACAAGGCACAAATTCCTGACAGTTCCTCCCTGTCCTTTTAGTGCACATGTGGACTCATAGCCTAAGTTACTCGGTTCCTTAGTTTCCCTTACTGTGCATGTGGAAGGGGGCGGAATTCTCCACTGCAGATGTGCCAGGTCCTGTGTTACTCCTCTTGGGCATGTTTCAAGCAAGCCCCCCCACCCCTGCGCAAACTCCCTTATCTGAATATGTTCAAAAAAGGAAAGGAATGTGCTCACTGAAGCCTACAGTGTGTATGTGACCCTTGCTAATTACACAGGAGGCATCTTCATAGTGGACCTTTCCTCCTTGTCTATGCTTGCAGCCTGTTCCTTTGTTAGACAAAAGGAATTCTACGGAGGACCTATTCTAGCTATCTGCCTAACAGGTTCCCTTCTCTCTTTTCCCTCATTATGGCATTTATAATCAGTCTTAAGATGAAATCCTTGGGGGGGTGGGGAGTTGGGGAGAGATAGCACGGGGAGAAATGCCAGATATAGGTGATGGGAAGAAGGCAGCAAATCGCACTGCCATGTGTGTACCTATGCAACTATCTTGCATGTTCTTCACATGTACCCCAAAACCTAAAACGCAACAACAAAAAGATGAAATCCACATTCTCTCCTTTTTTCATATGTTTTCTTTCTACTGTCCTTCTCCAAGATGACTCAAAATCTATGCCATGGTCTTTAGCAGTCAGCAGTAACGTAGGTCTGGACTGTACTTTTGCTTGGTGATTTTGCTTGATTCTGCATGGATGAAGGTTCTAAACTTTGTGAAAGACGGGCCAGTGTGGTGATAACTATATGTGTTGTATTGACACTTTAGACATTGTTAAATGTACAGCATATGAGAAACCTGGGTTTGTATTAATTCAGCCTTGGATGTCCTAAGAATTTATACTCATTAAAGACAGTTTTGATGGCAATTGTTAAAGAAACACAGGCAGCTAAGAGATACTCTCCAGGTTTAGATTAAGGAATAGGTGGGGAGCAAATAATTGTTCTGGGCTTTTAGCTTACTAAAGGAAGTTTAAAACTTTCTTGCTGGGGATTTAATCATATAAGCTGGCTTATCTGGTTTAGATATGGGCATCACCACTCTTATATTGATTCCTATGGTTTTAATCCAGGCTTATTTTCCTGAGCTTCAG